CTTATTTGTCTTATTCTACATATTGTTTTTTTTAAAAAGTTTAAAAAGATTATAAACATACATTTTTGAATTTGACAGATGAAAAAGATGCCATTACAATGTAAGTCACAAATAATGTTATTTTTAGCAACGTCAAATGACCCCTTTAAAGGGATAGTTCAGCCAAAAATTAAACTTCTGTCATCATTTACTCACCATCATGACACAAAATAATGTATTTTGAAGAATGACCAAGCTCTTTATTTCTATACAATTCACAAATACAGTAAACACAGGACGTCAAGTTTGAAAAATGACAGAAATTTTTTTTGCTTTAACCCCTGCAATATATTAATAAGTAGAATAAGACAAATAAGTTACCAATCATATGAAATTAGTTTTAATAAATTAATTTGTACTACAGAGGTGGCACAGAAGAACACAAAAGTGGCTTGTAGGTACATTTCCAGACGTTTAATGAGGCTCAGAGGAGGCTCATAAATTAATGTGGAGATTAATGTTTTAAATATACAATTTTGAATACAGAAATATGATTCAAATAACTGAAATTATACAGTAAAAATGAAACTAAATCACCAGCAGGTGGCGGCAAGTCACTGATTTTATCACTGAGTCATTCATTCAATTGATTCATTCGAACGACTGAATCATTCAGGAATGAAGCAAGTGACTCTCTTTATGAACTGACGGAACTTTAATCCCGGTGTAAATCAGCTTTGCTTGATTAAGGAGCGCTGCGTCAGCTCGAAGCTCTAATCACACTAATTACTGCCTCGTCTGAGGAGATTCACCTCATGTCCGGAGAGAAGTCCACCTGACAGGCGTATCCCGCCACCATGTGACCCTTGAAGATCTTCTTCTTGTTGAGCCGGAATCTGTTCTGCGCTCCGAAGATCAGGATCTGATTGTCCATGGACTGACAGGCCAGCCACTTTCCTGAAATTAACCAAATAAATTAAGTTATTACTGCGCAGCTCAGGATGCCAAGATCTCCAGCTCACATTCACTTATCATTCAAGCTAGGAGCTGTATATCTTAAAAATAAACTAGTAATAATAATAATAATAATAATAATAATAATAAAAAACTAGGCTGTCTTCAGGAAGCACTGAATAATTACACTGGTTTAGTGCACGGAGGACTAGAAGTGACATTTAAAAATAAAATTACGGACAATTAATTTCAACCATAAAAAAGGAAATAAATCACTTTTTAAATGGACAAATTAAGACGTATATAAAATGCAGGTTTTCAAATGTAATTAAATAAAACCATAACTATAGTAAATTATTAAATAGTAAATAAATTAATAAATATTTTAAATTGCATTTAAAGACCCAAATGCTTTTATTATTAAGAAATAAGAAATTAGACTTAAGAAATATCATTGGACTCTTCAGGACAAAAATTTTTTTTCCACTCAATTTTAAGTTGTACAATAAAAACAATAAATACCATCAATTAAATAATAATTAAAAACATAAAACAGGAAATAAATCACTTTTTTTTTTAAAAGGACAAAATATACATGTTTATACATAGTTTGTTTTTAATTTAACAGTTAAAATTTAACAAAATAAAAAAACATCTTTAAAATGAAAAATAAATAAACATAAAACTGTTTATTCAATTCGAACTATAGTAAATAAAACTATAAATAACTATAAATAAAACCATAACTATAGTAAACTAATAAATATTAAAATAAATGAATAAATAAATATTTTAAATTGCATGTAAAATAACCAAAGAATTATTAATCGATAAAAAAAAAAAAGGCATTAAACTCTTCTGGACAATAAACATTTTGACTTAATTTTACTTTGTGTAAAATCCATCAATTAAATAATATTCAAACATAAAAGGGAAATAAAATCACTTTTTAAAATGGACAAATTAATAGATATTTAAAGCTATTTAATGCATGTTTTAAAATGTAGTTAAAATTAATAAATTATATTGAATAAATGACATGAATTGACAATGAACAAAACTGTTCATTCAATTTATGTTTTAAAACCTAATAAATAAAACTATAACTATAGTAAATGAATAAATATTAAAATAAACATTTTAAATGACACTTAAAAAGCCAAATGCTCTTCTTCATCCATATTTTCAGCTTACATTATGAACTCTTGGGGACAAAAATAACTTTCGACTCGATTTTAAGCTGCTAACGAACAATAAAGTACCATCAATTAAATATTTAGAGTTATTTAGCAGTCTTGAGATATTGTTTAGTCGAAGCTTCTGCTTTAATGATTGTAAACACCGGCTCTTTAAAGAAACTGTGCTACAAAATAAAGCTAAAAAATGATAGATAAGTAAGAGTTAACCTCTCTAATCAACTAGTTAGTTCCTGGAGAATTATTTGAGCATCTTCGGGGGACCTGTGACTGTGACTGAGGTCTGGGTTCACACGAGTTCATCTGCACCTCAGAAGAGAAACACTGACACGCAGTTGAACGAGGGATCCTGCTCAGTTATTGATCGCAGAGAGGAAGCCATGCGAGCGATAGAGAGTCACATGACATGTACAGCAAGCTCACCGTTGGGCGACAGCGTGACCGCGGGCATCGAGTGCATACTGGGCTCAGCGATGTACTTGAAGTCCACAGGAATATCCCTGACAAGATACATATAAATCACACATTTTAAAACATGCAAAGCTGCACTGCAGTCAGCACATTTCGGCGTGTTATGAACATGTATTCAGACACACAGATGGAGGTTTAACTATGAAAGTATTAATGAGCATGAAAGTATTCATAGTACTGCTTTTTGGAAAAAATATGCCAGTTGGCATGGAAAAGTTATTTTATTTTACTTCATTAATATATATATTTGTAAAAAAAAGTATCTAAACAAAATAATAAAAAAAAACACATAAAATGTATAATACATTATAATCTCACTCATATTTATATATATATATACACAAAATTATATTTATATTATACAAAAACAACTGATATAAAATTAAAAAAAATATATATATATGTTTTTATTAATTTTATATCAGTTATTTTTGTATATCAAGTTAAACTAAATGAAAATGAAAAATGCTGCCTTGGCAATTAGCTGAAAAAAAAAAAAAGTTTTTCTTTGTATTTTATTTTAGTTAACATTTATTAAGAAACAAAAATGTTTTTAATGGTTTTAGTTGTAGATTTAGTGAACTATAATAACCCTGATGTAGATTTATTGTCTTTTTCCTTTTTTTTTTACCTGTTGAAAAATATCAACAGAGTTAAACTAAAACGAACGAATCACTTTTCACCTGAAATCAGAAGATAAAAAGTTAACATTGACATCTGCTTGAAGAAAGTGAGGCTGTTTTAAGGACCACATTATTTTCATGATAACTCCACAGAAGTTGCTCTAAAATCACAGTGGTTTCTCGTGCACCCCTGTGTGGATTGGATGGGTTTTCAGTAATGAAGAGCCTCCTCACCACTCCCAGACGCGCAGGCTCTTGTCGTCGGAGGTGCTGACGAAGCGCCGGTTCTCGTCCACGAAGGTGATGGTGTTGACGGCGCCGAGGTGTCTGTCGTACTCCTGCACGACCTCGCCGGAGCGGATGTCCCACTGCACGCAAACACAGTCACATCAGTCACTGACAGCCAGAAGAAGAAACACTTTCCCAACGTCACCTGAAATAAAACCTCAAAACCGTACTTGCTTATAATAATCTCATTTTCATTTAGTTTAACGGACTACTAAAATACTAAAACTGGAATAAAAATGTATAAAAATTATATTAAAATATTAATTAAAAATTATTGAAATCGAAGAAAAATGCACGACTAAATTACTAAAAATGTAGAACTATGAAAAAAAAAATACACAACTAAACTGATAAAAAAGTAAAAAAAATTAACAAATTATACAGATGTCTAAAAGTCTTTTTAAAAATAGTTTTAAAAAAAGTTTAAAAATTATAAAAATGCACAACTAAATCACTAAAATTGAAATAACTGAATAAAAATGATACAGAAACGAAAAAATAATTGAATTACAAAAAAGCAAAACTGAAACACAAACAAAAATTTATAAAAATGTAGACATTTTAAAAAGTCAACAAAATGATCAAAATATACAACTAAATTACTAAAACTGAAATAAAAATTATCAAAAATTATATAGACATTTTAAAAAATGAATTTAAATGGCAAAAATACTAATCTGAAATAAGTTCATAAAAATGATAAAGACATTTAAAATTCACAACTAAATCACTAAAACTGAAATAAAAAATTTAAAAATATATAGACATTAAGAAATAGGCATTAAAACACAACTACGACACTAAAAATAAAATAATTAATAAAACGTATATAGACATTTCAAAATATGAATTAAAATGTCAAAAAATATACCACTAAATTACTAAAACTTAAAATTATATAGAATGACAAATACACAACTAAATTATTACACCTTAAAATGGAATTAAAAACCTAATATATAAAAATAAAAACGAATTGAAAATATTAAGTATCTCAATGCTCCCAAAGTAACCCTAGGCTGTATTCAGTCCTGTAAGGTGTTTATGAAGCGTGAAATAAAGTGTGCATGAGCATCCTCATCATGAACATGAGCTGGAATAACGTTCATATAAAAATAATTAAATATTGGCTCTCGGCTCGGTACCTGGACGATCTTCTTGTCGGACATCCCGGCTACAAACAGCTGTTGTTTGTCCTCGTCTGGGTTGAACTTGACGCAGTAGGGAACCTTCCTGTTGGTGAAGCGGGCGATGCACTGACCTGAACGAGCAGAGGAGACTCTTTAGTGCTAGACTTCAACAGCACACCATGAACACAAACCGCTAGAACTAGAGAGGTCTGGGAAACTAGTGGGATGACTGGTCTGTGTTTGTGTGAAGCTCTCACCCGTCTCGGAGTCCCAGAGTTTGAGATATCGGTCGTAGGCGGCGCTCAGGAACCGTGTGCCGGAGTTATTGAAGCAAACGTCACGCACGGCTTTACTGTGACCTACAGAGACACCAGACATCAGTCAGACACGCATTAACACTAATGTTCACACGATGTTCTCAGTGTTTCTGAAAGAAGTCTCTTATGCCCACTAAGGCTGCATTTATTTGATTAAAAAATACTGTAAAAACAGTACAATTGTGAAATATTATTACAATTTTAAAGTACTATTAACTGTTTCATACATGTATTATATATCTAAATAAATTGACATAAAAATTAATACGAGACATTTAAATGAACTAATTAGAATGACAAAAACATAACTACATTACTAAAACATAATTAATAAAAATGATATAGACATTAAAAAAAAAAACTCATTAAAATGACAAAAACACATATATAAAAATTCATAAAAAATTATGTACACATAAAAAAACTACACAAAAATAAATACACATGCATATAATGAATATATAAAAATAATGAAATATTATTACAATGTAAAACAGCTGTTTTCTATGTGAATATCTGTTAAAATGTAATTTATTTCTGTGATCAAAGCTGTATTTTCAGCATCATTACTCCAGTCTTCAGTGTCAAACAACATTTGTTTGAAATAGAAATCTTTTGTTACATTATAAATGTCTTTACTGTCACTTTTGATCAATTTGATGTGTCAATTTAATTAAGTATTAAGTAATAAAGTACTAAGCAATAAAGTATTAATTTTAGGGCTGAATGATTTTGGAAAATAGTCTAATGAAAGTCAGTAACAAATCACACAAACTAAAGTAGATTGCAGAAATATAAAAACAAATCTGTTGCTTTACCACACTATTTTAGGTAATTCACAGTCATTGTAATAAACATATGTAAACATGTGCACTGCACTGTCTGTTAACTTTAGACCAGTGGTTCTCAAACTTTTTTGGTCGAGCCCCCCTTTAAACCTATAAAAAAATCAGGCTCCGCCCCCCCCTTTCCCGAATCCCCATTCCACCTCAGACTACCAAATAATTTCACTAAACATTATGAAAAATTAATGCTTTTTTAATTTAAAAAACCTACAGGGAAAAAAACACCTGCATCACTTGAAACAGCATAATAATGCAAGAAGGCCTACACACTTCCAAATGACAACAAACTTTTATTTTTTAAGAATATTTAGATCATGGAAATTAAGTATCAAAATATTAGATACCTTAAAAAACCTGAATAAATAGTAAATAAACATTTTCTAACAAAAAGTGCAAAGTAACAAGTAGAAAAATGCAGAAAGAACTTGTATGGAGATTTTTCTCAGTCCCTCCGGCGGATTTTTCTCACACTCTCACACACTCTCACACTCACACTATGGTACAACTGAATGTACTTCTTAAAGTAAAAATAATAAAAAAAAGAAGAAAGATTTATGAAAAATAAAAAGGGGAATTTGGGAAAAAAATTAAATAGGACCCTAATAAATTTAATTTTTGTTAAGCTTGTAATAAACTGTTGTTTAATTGTGTTCCTTTCATGACTTCAATTAAGAACATTTTGATTACTAAAATTTAATTTAACCATAAAAACGGAATCCAGAAAAATTACAACAGAAAACATGACATTTAAAATAAATAAATAAATAAAAAGCTATTTAAAAATAAAATAAAATGGATTTCGTAAGGCAATCCAGAAATTTTGGAAACTTTCCAGGATTTTTTTGGGAATATTCCAGGGATTTTTGGAAAGTTTCCGGAAATTTACCAGAATTCCAATTCTGTATGTTTCATAATTTCATTTAATTACATTTAGATTACTAATATTTAATTCAACCGTTAAAACAGAATCCAGAAAAACTAAAAATCCCTACCTTGGTGTGTCCGGTCCAGACGTGCAGCTGTTTCTTGGGCAGGTAGCATTTCTCCGGGACGTCCGCTGAGCGCAGGTTGATGCCCACGTCCTGAGGAACATGCAGGTACGAGCGGCCCTGATAATCGTATGCTTCTTTAACTGTAAAGAGGGAGAGAAAGCGGTTTAACAGCAGATTGAAGACTCGTTTAGCTGCACGTTTGTGGTTGTGGCTGCGTGTCGTACCGTGCAGGACGGTCTTCTCCTCCGCTGGAGCCTCTTCTTCATTCTTGCCTCGCTTCTGTCTCTTAGCTAGGATCTCATCTAGCTCTTTCTGCTCGTCCTGTCACATCAAAACAGGATTAAGAAAATGATTAGTCTCTAATAACAGGTTAAAGGTGATTTTGGGTTTTTAGCTAGAAAAATGATGACAATATACAGCAATCTGATGGTTTCCTATAAAGGGTCCTAAACAAACATTACACATGAATAGAGATGGGTATCGTTTACATTTTATCGATACCAATACCGATACTGCTTATCGATACCGGTACTTATCGATACTGTTATCGATACTATTTGGTGCAAAAAGATATGAAGTGAAAAGTTGTTGAAAATTTCAAGTTATTTTATTACTGCTGAACTTTAGCAGCTGTATTAAAGTTCTTCAGTCAAGAGCAGCGAGTTATTTTCCTCTGTGTTTTATTTTATTAACATTAAAGGAATAGTTCACCCAAAAATGAAAATCGTGTCATCATTTACTCACTCTCAAGTTGTTTTAAACCGGAATGAGTTTCTTTCTGCTGTTGAACATAAAAAGTTATTTTGAAGAATGTGGGGAAACTAAACAGTTGCTGGTCCCCCAGTTATTATTTTTCCTACTATTAAAGTCAGTGGGGACCAGCAACTGTTTGGTTACCCACATTCTTCAAAATATCTTCTTTTGTGTTCAGCACAAGAATAAATAAAAATTAATACATGTTTGGTACAACATGACTGAGTAAATAATGACAGAATTTACTTTTTTGGGTGAACTATCCCTTTAATGACAAGCGGCAGCATGTTT